AAAGCAGTAGGAGGATAAGATAACTGACATTGATATCAGCTATACAGCAGGCAATCATAAATTTACAAATGAGGAAATGGAAATATGGAAGCTAAGTGACTTGACTGGGATCACACAGGAAATAGGTAGAAAAGCCAACATTCCAATCTGAGTCTTCCACCTCCAAGTTGAATACCCTTTCACCTTGTTTTTTAACAAGTGCAATGCTCTTCACACCTTCATTTGATCTGTATGTTAGCAGCTCTTGAAAGTTGCACTATGGGCAATAATGCCATTGTAACGATTTCTCTTTACTGTCTGATACACAAAGTATCTTATGTCTTTCACGTGTGCTTATGGAAAATGCCTTGCGTCCAAAAAACTTAAGGTTACAAATTATACTTTTGTGGCTAAATTTAGCCCTCATCCCTAAGTAATAGTCATGTGAAAATGCCGGTTTTGAGCTGAGATGAAGCCTTGCTTTCCAGTGGCTCTCCTTAGAGACCCAAACCTCTAAAACCTAACTGTCTACAACGGACTAGCTGGTGGCCCCTTTGGACAGAAGTTTTGGGCTTATGTCGCCACCTGGTGTCCTGCATAGGAAAGCATTAGACCCAAAGCCTCTTTCCTACCCCTCACTGAGAGCTTTGAGAGAAACCTGGAGCAAGAATTCTCGTTCTTTGCATCCTGCACTCCTCTGGGCAGTCTGGTGAAGCCTATGGACTCATTCTTTGAATAATATTTTTAGATGCATATACTTACAAAGGAAACTAATCATACTGAAATTTAGTTAGAAAAATTAAGAAACAAAAGTTCATGGAGCCCAGATTAAAGACCTCTGCCTGAAAGATAACCTAGTACAGCTTCATTTTAGAGGTAAAATAATTGAGTCAGAGAAAAAGAAAAATGACGACTTTGTCCAGGTAGTTTGCATCTGGGGAGCACCCACGGGGCTTTCCCCTTGCTCAGCTCATTGAATTTTAGTGAAGGCATCCCTGTTGTGGGGATCACTTCAGTCAGGGGAGATGAGGGCCAGTCGGAGGAGGAGGTGAAGCTAGAAATGTCTGGCATGGTACCCTAGCATATTGGCTGAAAGAGGAGAGGTAAATAGTAGGTAAAAAAAATTATTAAATTACCCAGATTTCAACAAAAACAGACTCCTCTCCTAGATAACTGAGTTGGTTATAGCTAGAAAATTTACTTCGCTCTTTCCAGAGAGTGAAATATACCCAAGTAAAGTACTTAATTCACTTTTTCAACAAGCCCTGGCTGTTTTAGAAATGGCCATTTGACGTTTTTGCCATTAGAATCTTAGTTTGACTGAATCTTGGCAGTGAGGAACTTGTCAAAATTAAAGTGCTTTTTTTCCTTAGGAAAAATTTACCTAATTATTACACTCTTCTTAATAAACTAGGATTTGTGACTTTTGTCTTCATTTTCCTGGTGCTTAGCACAGTTCCTGGCACTTCAAATAGAATTTGATGGTTTAAGTTTGCATTTACCTTACATTTCAACAAAGAAATGGGCTCCATTGTGGATTTTTGAAGTGAAAGTAGGGGAGTTTGGCTTTTACCACCTTTGAATCACTTTTCAGTCAGTCAAGTATTTATTAAGTACTTACTTTGTGCCTGGAGCTGTGCTAAATGCTGGAAACATAAAGAAAAAAAAACCCCAGCATAAATAATCCTTGTCCTCAAGGAGTTTACATTCTAATGGAGAAAACTACGTGGGTAGAAATAAAAATAGACATAGACATTCTCCCTAGATGGAAGGTAACCTAGGGAGAGGCAGCAGCACTGGTATTGAGCGGAGCCTTCCTATGCTTTAGACTTGCTCTGATTTCTGTTTTTCTGTTATGGACCTAAGACAATGAATCTCCTATTTCTAAGTTCTATAGAAACTAAGAGATTAGCCTAGTACCCAGGCCTCTGAGATTTAGGTAGACAAGGACAATCCTACCCACCAGTCTGTAGATCCATAGTTGATAAGATGAAGCCCACTATGAAAGAAGGCACCAAATTATTTTTGCTTAACTTGTAAAAGGGACAGCATTGTGTGTGTGTGTGTGTGTGTGGTTTATATCCCATATATAAGGTGTATTTCAACCTAATGGCTATTTCATGCAAAAGTATTCTCATTGCATAGTTAAAAAACAAACAAAAAACCCCAACAACTAACTAATCTTAGAGCAAGAGCCAAGTAGTAATATGAGTATTTTATTTGAAGCATTTTAGTTATTCTAGAAAGAAAATTCTTCATCTGGGTACATTTTTCAAAACATGTATCATGGTGACAGTTTTGTGTCCATGCCTTTTGCATTGGAAGTTGGGTTTTCTTTTAAATACCAATAAACATTTTCTACTGGTAATATGTGAATTGAATTTTTTTAAAAAATGTCATTAAATATTTTATCTACCAATCATATTCTTAAATATTGTAGAAGGCCAATTTGGGGGAGATTTTGTTTTCTCACTCCCCATATATTGGATGCTGTTTTAGCCTGGCTAGCAGGAAAATGGGCAAGTGCCAAATAGCCACTGGATTGAGAAGAGACGGGGAAATCTTTCAGAGGAGATCTGACTGAGAAACCCTGGGCTCTGTAGCTGGAGATCTGCTGGAGTCCTGGTGTTCCCCAATTTACATTATAGATATTCCTAGAGATATGTAAATGTCTCTCTCTCTCTCTGTCTCTCTCTCTCTGTCTCTCTCTCTCTCAAGACACTGAGGGCATTTCCCATTTAAAAGAAAATTGAGTGCTGACTACTTCAGGAAAGTAAAGCCTCCTTTTGTTAAGGATGTGACATGTCGGCCCCATCCATTCCCTAACACCTTGCTCCAGTTTACTTGAATTATAAATTCAGATTTTTGTGTACCCAAGTTTCTTCCAATTGGGGACTCCTAGATAGTCCCAGTAGGTTGCTCCGTGCTTTCCTTCCCTGGACATTTATCAAAGGATTCTTTCTTCTTTTGTTAATCAGATCCCAAACGCTTTGCTTTAAGAAATAGCAATAACATTTTTTTTAAATGGGCCTGACTTGCTAGAAACACAATTCTAGTTGCCTGTGACAACATTGAAATCCATATATTGGCCCTGGATTGTTTCAAAGCAAGAATCTTTTCTCAGTGACTTAAAATTTGAAATGTGTATGTTTACTCTGGCCATGTGTTCCTCTTTCCTTCTTTAATAGGCTGTCTTTGGAAGTTATATCGTTTCAAATCTGATTTCCTAATAAAGTAAGGTAAATCCTGTAGCGTCTCCCTTCCCAGCCCCCCCAATACCTCTTTTTAGTGCTAGTTTCTGTACAGGCTTCTTTAGAATTCCTCAAGGCATCTGGGGTCAGTGTTTTCGGGGGGGGGGTGAAACAGTGGGGGCGAAGCAGGAGGGAGGACACAAAGGAATTCATTTTGAATCTAGGCTGAACACAACTACTGTTGGCTGCAGTCTGACCAAACCAAAATTTTATTTACAAGATAACCAATCGCCTAAAAAGTGATAGACCTATCTGGTGTTCAGGAGAAGGAGAGGTTTCATGAATTTAGGGAGACAGGGAAGAATCCTGGATTTGGATCCTCTGGAAGGGACCTCAGAAGTAGCTAGTTAAAATCCTGTATTTTTACAGAAGAGGCAGAAGCCCAGAGGTGCAATTTAATTTTGCCTCAGATTGCCCTTCAGATCGGAGGGCTGAGTATCTGGCTTGACACCTGATGAATATTTAGATCCAGTTGAGAACCCAACGAATTTTTCTCAGTGAATTGAGTTCTTCCTCCATTATTCTAGTTCTAGCACCCTGTCTTTCCCACAATTGCTTTGCCTGGACTTATCGGTGCATAGATTGTATCGTTCCCCCACTTCCCAGTGTAGAAACTTCTTGAAGGTGAAGATTTACTTTTTTTTTTCTTTGCACTTTTGTATCTCCATACCTCCCTCCATGCCTGACAAAGAGTTGGCACTTGGTCAATGTTGAACTAAGAACTCATTGAGTTCTTTTTAAAAATAGATTTTATTTGTTAATATCTTTTATTTTTACATTACCTAAAATTTTCCCTGTATCCCTCCTCCTTGCCAGAGAACCGCTTCTTGTTACAAACAATTATTGAAATTGACCTTCGGATTGGATCCCTCCATTTCTTAGAGTATTTGCTTTGCCTCTGGAAGCATTTCGATATTTGTGTGTCTGGGTATGGAGTGATACCTCTACTTAGAAAGGAAGTACTCCCAGAGGGCAGGCAGCATTTGGTTTCGCTTTTTTGCCTTTGTATTCCCAGTGCTTGGCACCATAGCTTGTCTGATAAATAGGAATGGGTTATTAAAATGTTGACTTGAGTTGAAGTGCTCTTTGTGATGAGTCCAGTAAGGGGAGGCTGACCATGTTTGTTGGCTTGCTGATCTGGAATTTAGAGGATTTTAATATCTAGCCCTTTTGAAAACCAGGTTGAGTTGGGGTGAAGGGCAAAAGGAGTTTATAGACTCTGGCTTTGCCTTGAGATGCAAAACTCCCCCATGGACATTTCGGTACTTGAAGGATAGATGATTGCTTCATTCTGGGCTATTCCTCCTTCCTCCTCTTTCCTCCTCCCCTCCTTTACCACTCAAACCAGAGGTGTCTGCTCTGGGGCCAACCTCAGAGCCAGTGTGCGTTCCTCTGGCATAGTCTGGGGCACCTCTGTGTCACTTATTATAGGAGGACTAGCATAGAAGCAAATCATATCTTTAGGAAAAGGCAAATTTTCTTTTGAATCCTTTCTCTTGTGTTCTTACTTGGTCACTCATTTTAGAAATACTTTTGAAGTATTGTACCAACCTTGGAAGAAATTCTTCTCTTAAATGTTATGACTGTGGCATCATCATATATATCCCTCTCTTTCCTCTCCTTTGGCCTCATTTCTGGTCTGTGAATTTTTCTTCAATTGGGAAGACATTGTTATTTTTAATGGAAGATGTGACACTGTCATTTCCAAATGGGAAATTTGCATATATTTTCCCACCCATCCCCTAATTCTTTTCTTTTATTTCCCTCCAGGAGCCGTAAGATCCAGATCCGAAACATCCCACCTCATCTTCAATGGGAGGTAAGGATTCCTACATTTAAAATAAAGTTGTTACTATTGATTTTTTTTTATAAGTCTTCCTGAGTCCCTCTCTTTGCTCACCCTCATCCCTGATACTCCCCTGGCTTCCTGCATTTGCTGGAGCCCATATACACCTCATTCTACTCTTGGGGAGTGGCCATGGGTGGGGGGCCCTTATGGTGCAAGAGAAGAAGCTAGTTATTTGCTGCCTTGGTTTCTTTGGGTTGTGTGTTTAAAAAAAATATATTGCAATGGGTTTCTTGGGTGAATGCTAACCCCTTGGTGTTTTCTGGTTCCTTAACCAAAGGGCTTGCCCATGCCAACTCTTCCTGGCTAGAGTTCAGTCATCTTCTTTAAATCCAAATTTCCGTGCTTGGTAAAACCCTTTAAAAAATCAAACTTAAAGAGGAGACATGAGTATCTTCCAAATATTTGTCTATTTGGTTTTGTCCCTGAATGATGGCATTCGGCTAAGTGTGTGTTTTAGAGAGATCATGGTTAGCCCAAGTTTGAATGAGATTCTATGCCCCTAGAAGCTTCTGAAGTCTGATTGGGATATCGCAAGTGGGACATGATGACTTGACGAGCCCCAAGCAAAGAAGGCTGTGGTGGAAAGTTGGGTTATGGTTTTGTGTGGCCCTTTTACATAATGGAAACTGAGAATAATTCATCTCCTTTTCCTTTTAACAAAAGAACACATAACACACCCAACCCTTGGCTATTTCTTTCTGAATATTTCTAAATGTGTTTTAGAAATTTTTTAATGCATTTTTCCCTTTCAAAGGCCATTTGATAACTGGCCATGTAAGGTTTTCAGATGGGGACTTTTTTTTGGCACAAAATTTTGTGTTTAACACAACACACTGAAAACTCCTGTGCATTCTCTTCTTGCGCTCCCTTTAAGTCTGCCACAAGGGGTGAGAAGGGGGCCCACCCATTATCCTGGAGGCTTTCCTCCATTTCCTTTGACATTACAAACATAAGAATTTACAATGAGCCACCACTGCCTTTAAGAGGGGCAGTTGATTATTGGTAATCTTTGTATGAAAAGACCAATCAGTCCTTGGGAAGAGAGAAGATTTTTATTTGGTCATTACGTAGAGGTTGAGGATGCCTGTCGAGGGGCTCCTGCTAAGTTTTCCCCTATTTTAGCATTTGTTTGGGGAATAGATCTCTAGGGCCAATGAGATAGACTCCAAGTTCAAGGTCAATATAGAGAAGTTACTGGTTTTTCTATCTTCACTGCAAGACAAACCCAAGGATTCAGGTTCAAAAACTCCTGGGTTAGTCTGGTTTAGCTGTAAATAAGACCACCTAATAGGAATATCCTTTAGAAGTCAGTGGGTTATCTAAATGCAGCTGCCGCCCATTACCTGTGAAGTTATACATTTGAAAAGCCTCCTTGGGAACCAGCTTGAGATTCCAGGTTAGGCTGCATTTTTTTTTTAACTTACCAAGAGGCATTAAAATGTAACCTTCTTTTGAATTTGAGAGAATTCACATCTGATGCTGTCAGGAAGCAAGTTTCCCAGATTTGACAGAGAATAATGCTTCCTGCTGCTCTGCATTTTTGCATTTGAAACTTTCCGCTCCTCTGGAGACACACCTTAGCATTGATTTTATTACACCATTTTGTCCTGACTCTTACCTACCCATCCCTTCCTCACCCTGCATGATGATAGCAGTACACATGGTGGGGTGCACAGAACATGTTACCTTAGATTTCCATTGCAGTCTCAACAATCCAATGAGGTTATTATTATCCCCAATTTAGAGAAGAGGAAACTGAGGCTTAGAAGTGAAGTGACTTGCCTGAGATGTCCCAAGCAAGGGCCAGAGCCAGGATTCAAGCCCATACCTTTCTGACTGCCAACTTTGCCTCTTAAGAAGAGGGGAGACTCTCACCAGAGGCTAGAATGTTGAGCTCTCACTCCTGGACAATGACAGTCTCCTCCTGGCCCACTCATTCAATGTTAACTGTTCCAAAGGGTTTTTTATAACAATCGTTTTCTTCTTTTGCAATATCTCTTTCAGCTGTATCAGGAAAAGAATGTCCCTATTTTCTAAATTGGCTGAACTGAGGCACAGAGAATTGAACTTACTTAATTGAACTTACTTATCTCATCTTGGTCAAGTCATAAGCAGCCCCAGAGAGTGGGATGTGGGACTCCTAACTTCCAGTCCATAGTTTAAAAAAAAAAAACTACCCATGAAAATGCTGGTCTTGAATAGTAATCAACCATAAAAAAATATTTATCAAGTATGTACTTGGTATAGGTCACTGTCTCAGAGGAAATAATTCCTAGAACACACCATTCCAAGGGGAAGGGGGCTTTCCTGTTCTGCTTCAGTCCCTTGGAAAGCCATTTTCCTAGCCTTTGCCCAAAAAGCTAAAAGAGTCTAGAAGCCCCACGTGTGGCATTCCTCATCAGTGAGGTGACTGAGCCCAGTGTAGGGATGCCTATATATTCCTATAGAATGTTGGCTGCTCTGCCGAGTTTAAAAAAGCCTTCGTCTCCCCTTACCTCTGGTTCCATTCCATAATAGGCTAGGGAACAGGGTCCTTTAATGTGTCCTTAGCAGAGCTTGAGTTTCCTCCCTCCCTCCTTCCCCCTCCCCATTTTTGGAGCGACTTTTCAAATGATTTTCCTCATTTAGATGTCCAGGCAGGGACTGAAATCTTTCTGGTTTAGGTACCACTTTCTGCCTGCTCAAGACACCTACTCTGGGCACAATATATCCTAATTCAATTAAATTCATCAAACAATTATGAAGTCTTTAATGTGCCAGACACTGTGTTTAGACCCTGGGGATTTCAAGAAAAAACAGCAACCCCTGTCCTTGAGGGGCATAATGCGTTACTGGGGAAGACTCCTCCCTCTCCTGTACAACCAAAGTATTTGCAAAGAGGGTGAGAGGATGAACCCCTGGAGGGAAGACGCCAGGGCTTGGAGGGGTGGGGGTCAGGAAAGGCCTCTGAGCTGGGCAGGGGACAAGGAGGGAAGGCATTTCAGATGTTGTCCTTTGAGTTTATTTTATGGGAGCATCTGTGGCTGCCAGAGGAGTTGGTTAAATGTTTCCTGGCACCTTCAGTACATATGGAATGGAGGGTTATGGGAAGACAGCAGGTGTTGCTTTTCTCTGATGCTTACCTCACCTCGAGGCGCCACTAGGGCTCTGCATTTGGCCTGTGTCTGAGGAGGGAAGGGGCCGAGCTTGGGGGGCCCAGAGGAGGGAGCAGCCAAGACTCCTTTTAAAGGAGTGAGAACCAGCGGGCCCCAAACACATGTCTTTTTGGCGCTATCACTTGTCAGGCTCTTGACCGGTCAGCCATTGTAGACATCTCAATCTCTCAGGGGCTTGCCAAGAGTGATATGTGATAGCGCTTTGGGGAGAAATCTATATTGGGTGAGCTACTAATAACTGGGTGACCCAACCATAGGAGACAGTCACCTTCCTACGCCTTCCATTCCCCTCTGATCCTCATGAAAAGCCCTACAGCAACAGCATGCCCTTCAGGCAAGAGATATACCTGGGGTTGTAATAAAATAATTCCAAACCCCTGAGACAGGACTATTCTAGAATGATAATTCTTCATTCTTTGGAGGGTTGTGTGATTTATTCACCCACCCAAAACCTACAATTCTCTAAGGTTGTTTAACCTAGTGGTTAGAGCCCTGAACTTGGAATGTAGGTAGACCAGCATTCAGCTCCCACTCACCCTCACCCCTCCTTCCTAGCCATCTGACGCTGGGCAAGTCACTTCATTCACTTCTTAAAGTTTCAATAATTTTAGGTATTCAATGGGTGTAATAATCTGGCAGTATTTTGTGGGTCTCAACCAAGATGATGCATTTTTTAAAATTGGCAAACCATTTCAATAAGCATTTATTAAGTGCTTGCTATATGCTCTAAAAGGGCAAGTTTTTATTAATTCTTATTTTTAGCAATATTTCTTGCTTTTACATCACCTAAATTCCCCCCTGTATTCTCTTATTACTTCAGGGATTTCATTGATGGGGTAGTCCCTTGATGAAGTTTTAAAAAAAAAAGAGACCCCCCTTTTTGTCCAGGTGAATTTCTGTGCAGATATTGTCTGGTTTCTTTTTTTAAAAAAATCCTGCAATAAGGAAATGTTCTAAGCAGTCTTAGCCTAGAACTTGGTGATCCTCAAACTCTTCCCAATTACAGCGCCCCAGGAAGTCAAGCAAAGGCTAGAGAGAGAGACCCAGTCAGAGAGAAGAGTCAGGTTGCTCTATGCCAAGCCCTCTGCCTCACTTTTTGCTCAGTGCTTTGGCTAGGGCCTGGGGTAAAGAATCGAGGAGAGGGAAAGCCCCCAAGGGCAAAGATGAACAAAAGCGATCCCTGGCCTCTGCTTTTGGAGCAGGGGCAGCCTTGGAGACACCTTTGCCTCCTGGCCTCTGACTGGTGAGCAGACCAGGAATCACTGGGACTTGCCTTGTCTCCAAGGTAGTGTCCTCTTGTTTCTCCTCCTAGGCTGAAGCACTCATAGATGGGCCCTGCCAGGGCCAGGAGTGGAGCCCAGCCTTGAAATGGAAATAGAAAATAGGGGTGTGGTGCAGCTTAGGTTTCTGTCTTTTGGAGGAGAGAAGACTTTCTCAGTATTTGTGGGGAGGCGTTTTGGCTCATGTGTACGGGCCAAATATTTCTCGAAAGATTTTTTCCTTTCCAAATGGGGCATTGGAATGGGAGGGTGCATGTCCATAGAGCAGCTGTCTCCTCTTTGATCTCAAAAAAGTGTCTCCTTTTAGAGACGGGACAGGACCGTGTCTCCCAGGCCATTTTCTGTGCTTGTCCTCGGGACCATGGCTAGTCATGCTTTGGTTCTCTTTATAATCAGGGCGAAAGAAGATGACTGACTTATAGGAAGGCTGGTATATGAGCCACGAGGTGGAAACCTCAGAGTTCTTTGCTTTCTTGAAGGCAAAGAAGTCTTGGCTGAGCTCTCCTCTTGCATGGGGTGTGTGTGTGTGTGTGTGTGTGTGTGTGTGTGTGTGTGTGTGTGTGTGTGTATTAGAGGAAGGTACCCTGCATAGTAAGGCAGGATTTCATGTCTACACCACTTTAAAAAGCTTAACTCACATAGACCCTGCCGCTGTTGGATCTTCTGTGACAGAGCCAGGATCCTAAGCCAAGTCTTTTGACTTTGAATCTTTTGCCCTTGCCCCTGTACCACGCTGCTTCCCAGCTCAAGGGCCCTATTTATGTGTCTTATTTTCAAATATCAGCTGAGCCCTTCCTGAGTCTCTCACTCAGCTTCCTGCTAGGTCACTGCTATAGTAGGGGCCTTATGTTCTGCAATGGAAGGGTATATTTGTTTGGTGTTCTGATAAGGAGGGTCCGTGTTCTTGCAAACAAGAAAGTACCATCTGTCGCACCAGTTTACCTGTTGCTCCAGATGTTAGTGATCAGCTGAATCTTGCCTCCCTGCTTTGGATTCAGCTTTAATATTAACCACGTCCTGGTTAAGATTCCATGGTGAGATGGGAAGCTGTGCTCTGCGTGTGTTCCACCCTGCCTGAGGTGACCCAAGGGGAAACAGATGTAGGAGAGGTTACATTAGCATAGGAGATGGAAAGAGATGGGTCAAGAGGCTTGATTTCTTTGAATTTAATGCAGCAAATGCAGATGCTTATCATCCAGCTGCCTCTCCCACCACATACTCTAGTGGTTTTCCTACCTTTGGGGATTATCTCAAGGCTCAGGACAGATGAGACTAGAACACGAAGCTTTACATCTAAGCAAGGAACGTCTTTGTGTGATGGCTGATTAGTCAGTGCCCAGTCAGGTGTCATCATGGGAGCTGGGTACAGTGGGCAGTGAGTGCCAGATAGAGAGCGAGAGGATTTCAGAGTCCAGTTCTGTTCTCTTGCACCTAGGTGTGACAATGAGTGGTGGCAGGCCTCTTCGTGAGAATTTCCCATGTCCCTTAGGTCATCTGGGAAATGAGCTGGATCAGCTCTCTCTTTTCCTCCCTTCCAGCTCTCAGTCCTGAGATCCAGTAGACCAGGACTTTTTAACATTTTAAATCTTCATTTCCTGGCATCCTTTGGAGCACTTCTCAGAATCATGTTTCTAAATGCAGAAAATAAAATGCATAGGATTACAAAGGAAATCAATAATTTATCAAAATATATTTTTAAAAGGCCATGGACCCCCAGTTAAGAACCCCTGCCTTAGGCTTCTGATGTTTGGCCAGGCTGTTACAAGATCACAGGAAAGAAACCAAGTTATCGAGACTTACTACTGTTCATGGCACATAGTACGTGCTTAAGAAATATTTGATGGGACAACTAAGTGGTGAAGTGAATGGAACAGTTGCTTGGAGCTGAGAAGATCTCAGTTCAAATATAGCCTCAGACACTTATTAGCTGTGTGACCCTGGTCAAGTCACTTCACCCTGTTTGCCTCAGCTTTTCATCTGTAAAATGAGCTGGAGAAGGAAATGGCAAACCATGGTCAAGACAAGTTGAATAGGACTGAAAAACAACCAAAGAAACACTTGATTGAACTATATATGGAAACAACCCCTTCTTTCTCCTTAATCTTTTAGGCTCTGGTCCTTTCTGTCCTGGCTTAGCATAAAGGGGGACAGGGCTAATGTGAAAGTCTTTTTGAAAAAAAAATTATCATCATTAGCATTGATCACAATCTTTTTCCATCTTGTGAAACAAAACAAAACTGAGCTGGTCCATGAGTTCCTGTGCACCCAAGTCAATTTCTTTAGATATCTCACCCCCCCACCCCAATTAAAATTCTAATGAACAAATTAAAGTGATTACATCCTTGGGAGCATGTCATCCTTCTTAAGGTGACTTCCCTATATAATTGGAAGACATAAGATTCCTATCATTTGCTTGAACTCTTTGAAATCGACTCTCCCCAAATTTAGGGTACATAGGATATACCTGAATTTTCATTTCTTATCTATGTTAATGTTAAGATATCGTTGTCTCTTCCTGCCAAGGTTTCTATCGTTCTGCCTTAACAACCAGGTTTTCTTTTAATTTGGACCAAAATCAGGTCTAAAGAATCAGGCCCATCATGGCTTCCTTTACTTTTTCCAAGGATGACATTATCATTAAAGCAAGTCAAGAATGTATTAGTTGCTCTGCTTTTGAGAGAGAGGGAGGGAGAAAGATGGAGAGGGAAGGGGCAGGGCTCTTGCAGTTGTCTAAAGGGTTGAAGTTTCTCTTCACTGCTATAGCATACCTCTCCATTAGCTTTGGGATTAGATTCCTGAACTCATCATTTGTTTCTTCTGACTTGGTGGGCTGTATCTGACTCAGCCCTTTGATAGTGTTTTCATCCTCACCCAAATGCATCCCTCGTGGATTTTCTCCCAGGAACATATTTTCTTGATAAACAATGCTACTTTACTATCTTTTAAAAAATCGAATCTGTACCTTTTGAATGAGGTAATTATCCATTGTCATTGATCTCTTTCCACTTCCCTTGATTCTTCCTGCTGGGCACATTTGTGTGTAGACCATGAGTAGCATTTCTCTTCTCCTTAAATATTCCTTACAAATTACTAGAAGAAGATTCTCTGGTACCTATTCTTCACTGACAGGCTCTAGTGGAAGTAGAAAACATGGCCCTGAGTTCTCCTTCCACCATTTATTTACTCTGCTTAACCTAGAGTTTGAACATTCATAGTTCTTTCTTTGCAATGGAAGAAACTCAAACATAGCATAACCTGCAGGTCACTGGGACATTCCCCTCACCTTCATATTTAACACAAACTCTCCCAGTCCTTTTCTCCCTTTATCAAGTTGTTTCAGTTTGTAATTGGCATATTCCTGTCATCTCCCCCAGTTCAAACAGTAAATTCAAATAGCATCTGTTGAGCACCTACTAATAGCCCAATAAGGTGCTAGCCATAGGGGGAAGGTGTAAACTGGCCTTGCCTTTAATTCTCACTTCTTTGGAAGCAGCCTGGCTCTTCTTTCCTCTTTTCATCTGTTTCTACATCTCTAATGTCCTTGCAAAGTCTTCCACTTGCATTGTACACAAGCCTAACTTTGCACAAGGGCTAGTCCCAGGATTTTGTGTTAGTCATGCATTTCTGTGTTCTTGAGTCCTAAAGTCCACAGACTTGTCATGTTTTACTCATAAAACTGAGATAAGGACTGTATTCTGAGAATTGTGTTAATGTGTCACCGTGGCAGGTAAATGTTATCAGAACAACACCTTTCAAAGATTTGTGAGGACTTGGAACAGGCCAGCCATCTGTATGCCCAGGGACCTTATGTGCTTTTTGTTTTAAGTAGGAAAAAAAAATCATCAGGACTCAAGTATCTTTCTAACTTCTATCAATGCTTTTTCCATGATTCTTATTCTTAGCCTCAAGGCAGAACTCAAATAAAACCAGCTGATCAATCAGATCAGCGGATGCTTATTAAGTATTTCCCATGCAGAAGGCTCTTTGGGTGAGAAGATGTACATGAAGAATTGATGCTGAGCTCATTTTTTCTTCCCCACCCACTATCCTGCTGCTTCTGGCTTCCCCATTCCACTAATGATGCCATTATTCCAGCTGTCACCCAGGCTCAGAACTTATTCATTTTTGACTCCCCCTTTTCTTTGACCCACGCCCATTCAGTTCCCAATTACTGCTGATTCTTTTTTTCTCTTTCCATTCCCACCACCATGGGACTAACTTCTCCCCAAGACTCTTGCAGCAGCAGTGATCTTTTTGCTTCCCATCTCTGCTTCCTCCAGTCTCTTCTAAATGTTGCTGCCTAACTTCCTAACATCCTGGGCTGCTAATGCCAGTTGCCTGCTCAGGCATATTCAGCATTTCCTTGTTTCCTGCAGAATTGTCAGACTTCTTAGCTGCATGTAAGGCCCTCTACCCCAGGACTTCAACATCCCTTTTCCTCTCTACCCCACCTCTTTGCCACAATGACCCTTCTATCCTGTGATTTCAGCTCATTTTGCCCCTCCTAGGCTTAAATATTCTGCTTGGTAGGGTGCATTTTGGGTTCCTGTCTTCCCTCTTATAGCACATAAGTTTCCTAAGGGCATATAGTAGGAGCTTAATAAATGTAGGTTGAGTCAAGTAATGGAAGCTAATAGAACATAAGGCCAGAAATGGTAGGATAGGTCCAGAACGCCATGAAAGCTTGTGGATTTTACATATTAGGAGCCACGGAAGGATTTTGAGCAGCCAAGTGCCTAAGGAAGGTGAATCTGATTACAGAAAGGAGGATAGTTCTGGAAGGGAAGAGACCAGTGCAGTGTTATTACTTCAGTAGTATCAACATGGGCTCAAAAGCGTAGGGTGGTAGCTTTGGGAATGGAAGGAGAAGGGAATGATGCAGTCAACTTTAAAAGAAGGATGAACAATTTTTGTGCTTGATTGGACATGAAATGTGAAGGGGACTCAAAGATGTCTGTGGTTTTGGACTTGGAAAATAACCATGTCAGAAACCAGACCAGAATGTCCTCCTACCCCTCTGTTGTCCATAATAGAAAATGTGTGTGTGTATGTGTGCATGCGTGTGTGTGTGTGGAGGGGGAGGGGGTGTATGTGTTTTTATGACATTTGTTGACTGAAGTTTTATGTGGTATTCCTTCTCATAATGGGTGATTTGAACCTTTTTATATTTCACTTTGATTGAAAGAATAAAAATAATCGCAAGCCTTCCACTAAGTTGCATTTTACTTGTGTGTAGCTGACGGTTGATTTGTACTGTGGGCCCTTGTCCCTTGGTACACAAGTTGTCTTCATCCCTTGCTGGAAGGTAAGTGATTAAGATGAATTGTGAACCCTTTGGATGTGTTTCTGCCACAATAGACTAACGATGCTAAGTGTTAGCTTGGTTTTGCTATAATAGGTGATGGGGCTCTGTGTGTGTGTGTGTGTGTGTGTGTGTGTGTGTGTGTGTGTGTGTGTGTGTGTGTGTGTGTGTGAGATGCACCAGGAGGAGAGGCAGGACATCGAAGGACCTGGAAAGATACTTGGGCCTCCCTCCCACTTGGGCTTTTCCTACTCATTCCCTTTTACCTATGTCTGGAAGAGTAAGTGAGAGCCCTGGTTAGCTGGCCTTTGAGGGCCCTGCCCAGTCAGCTGTAAATCTAGGACCCTATGAAATGGCTGGACAGAGATTTCCAAAGCTGGTCTTCATTGCTGGCCTCTACCTTCTGCTTTGGGTTATGTTATCTGACCACCATTGATAAGCTGAGCAAGAGGCCTAGAAAGTACATGGTGATGACTTCAATGTTTTTCTGACTTCTTTGACAAAGAAGATAGGAAATCCCTAGTCATAAGATTTATTTACTTATAATTAGAAATCTCATAACAGTCCTCAAAGCTTTTTGTTCACAGCCTTAGTGGCAGCAAATGCAATTGAAAGGAATAAGGGACCTTCACAGTGGCTGGAGGTTATTTTTTTTTTCCTTTCCAGCTCTGTTTATGCAGAACTGAATGGCTTATTGTACCTTATCCACGACCAAATCTTAATATTTAGAGATTTCCTTCATGGGCAGGAGATAAGAGAGAAGAGAAGGAAAAACCTTCTACCTGTAATAGAAGGCTAGATTTCATTTCCGTGGGACTCATCCTCCTGAAAGCCAAGTGAATTCCTTTGTGTGCATTTCATGCCTCACTGGCTCCCTGTCCTCAACTTTCAGGAGACTTCGATATCCTGTGGTTCTCAGCTCTCCTCTTCTCCCTCCTCCTCTTCCTCTTGGCTCATTTGTGTGAAAGCAAGTTGTACCTAGTACCCAGAATGTTGTTGTGCTCGCAAACAATGATTCAACCAAAGCTGGGGCTCAAACATCCTGCTTTCTTTAGGATGGAGTAGCTAAAATCCAGTTTTGGTTTGAGTTTGGGAGGGGCTTTGGTGACCTAGTGATGCCATGGCTGGTTTCCTGCTTCAGAACATTTACGATCATGCTGGGTTTGATTTGCCAGGAGCTTATTTAAAATAATTGGGCATGGGATTCTTCATTTCAATCTTGGGAATTTGGAAACTTTGATAGCTTGCTTTCAATTCAGTGATATTTAATCTAGGGGTCCTCAGTCCAATGCATTTCTTCCAGTGAAGGTCTCCAGAATGTTATTTGGACCTTTAATGGGATATAACAAAGCCCAGTGCAATGAATACTTTTTCTCGGCCCTGTCCCTTTGCACATGCCTGGAATGCCTCCCTTCCTCAATGGTACCATTTGGGGTCTTTTTAGGCCTTGTTTTTCCTGCTCTCCTTAATTAGAAGTGAGTGATCAGTTGCTGGGAAATGGTTAGGCAAAGAGTCATTTTCCCTGGGCAGATGTAGGGTTTTATCAAGCTTTCTGGATGAGGTTGACCCCTCATAAGGATGATTCCTTGGGAAATCTTCCCTCTAGTCCTAGTTGTTTTCCCCCCACCTCTTATTTACAAAATCAGTAGAGATTCATCTCCCCCAGTGATTGATTAGCTCAAGGAATAAAGGCATTTGCTGTCTCTTGCTTGTAAACCAGAATATGTATGACTAGCAAACATAGGGCTTGCGTTGGAGAACCCTCCAAGTTCTAGGTCCTCTTGGCCAAGAAAACAGTGAAGGAACTCATCTCTAGTAAGGCTTTTTGACTGGTTAAAAAAAAGACTCCCCCTTTGAGGGGCTGAATCAGATTATCTATTCTAGAAGGGCTACATTGCCCGGACCGATTTCCTTTCCCTAAATGGAAGGCATACTTTAAGGTTGGTTTGCCAAGGGTTATTCTGCATACATACAAATGGATGGAAAATTACTGGAAGAAAATGACCACCTCAGTTTTTAGAGTATAAGGGGAGGGGGAGGAGAATCAGGGTTGCAAATTAGCAGGATTTAAGCCTCTGAAAGTCACTTTAATTATAAGTGAGATACAGCCGGTTTTCACTGTTAATCTGTAGCGTGATTATCTTGCTTTTTGAAAGGCAGGGCCAGCATGACAGAGACCATGCTAAGTCTCCCGTGTTCCATGCTCTTTGGTTCCTGTGTTAGTGGGGGAGGGTGTGGATGTGAATGGAAACCTGGCCCTCAGCCACAGATCTGGAAATGAATTGGCTAGGTTTGGAGCAAAGCTGGTAGGCCCTCAAGATGGCTGGAACCACTTTGTCTCAGATCACTTGAAATGGTCCCTATTCATAAGTGTGTGTCACTCAGCCTCATACATAGGCTGGCTTTCCGGTTGTGTGTTCTTGAAGACTCGAGTAATAGCTAAATATTAGAAACCTAATGCACTAAATGCAATTTAAATTCTAGTTGGCCAAGTGCTAAACATCCCAGTCACAGAGAGGACCAATCCTTCAAGATGCTGTGCCTTGAGAAAGGCTAGCTAGAGTTGGAGGACTTGGGTTCAAATCTGTCACTTCCCTTGTATGAACCTCTGTTTCCTCATCTCAAAGACCTGAGGTCTCTTCCAGATTAAAATTGATTACTCCCTTTTCCAGCCCTTCCACTGGTCTTGGCCACCTCTGTCTTTCAAACCTGATCCTAGTATGACAGGAACACAGATCTAGGGCTGGAAGGGCCCTTAGAAGTCATGTGGTCCCTCCTCTTCATTTTACAAATGAGGAAACTGAGCCTCAGGGGAAATGATTAACCCAAGGTCACACAGGTAATAAGCAGAGGATTCAAACCCAGGGCATCTTGGCTCTAAATTCAGGGCTCTTTTTTTTCTCCTTCCTTCCTTTTTGCTCTTCTTTCTTCCTTTTCCCCCTCCTTTCCCTCTTTCCTTCCTTCCTCCCTTCCTTCCCTCCTGTCCTCTCTAACTCTCCTCCCTTTCTCCTTCCTTCCCCTCCATTTTCTCTCCCCTTCTCTCTTCTTTCTCTTTCTTCCTTTTCCCTTTCTCTTTCTTCTTCTCTCTTCTCTCCTTTTCCTCCTTACCTCCCTATTACATCAGATGACTCTAAAATCCTTTCCGGCTTTAAATCTACCTGTGTTTGATATTATTTTACGTATAATATTCTATGAACTGAGGTCCTCTTCATCTCTGGTATTTTTTGATTGTGTAAGGTCATACATAATGACCTTATATATGCTAATTGATGTTAGTTTAGGAAAAACTATTTTAAATAGAAAGTCACTGTCCATTGGTGCCTAACTATTGCTATGACAGGAGTCAGGGGTGCTCAGGACTCTCCAGCAGCGAGTACACTTCTCCTGGCAGATGGTTTAATTTTTAGATCTTAAAAACAAACATTATTGTCCTTCCCTTCCCAGGAAATGGTTCCTCTGTTTTTTAAAATCTGTTTTGGGGATAGGAATGGAAAAGCCCTCATCTGCCCCAGGCCACTGGGGGTCGTTGTCGGAGCAGGAATGAGCACAAAAAACTCTCCACTCCCAGCCCCTAACTGCTCCAGTGACTGGTTGTTGGAGCTGTTTCTTAATGGGGCCAATGGAAATTTTGGCATGAACTTGATTCGGTCCTTCAATTAAGCTTGTTTACGGTGGCTGCTTCCAATGGGAAATGAGGAGTGTTCTGGAAGTTATATATCCCTGATCTATTCCAATCCTGCCTCGGTTACTTATATTAAAGACTACTCCTAAAATAATTGGAAACAGATTGGCTTAAACCATGTGAGCGTATTATTATTGGAAGCTACATTTAGATTTCTTAACATAATAATGTACCTTACAGTTGATTTTTCCATTCGGGGAAGCTCCATTTCTGAAGGCAAATCCAAAGTTTCCAAATGTTAGTATTTTGGCAATGAACACAATTGGGAAAGTGGCTGCTAGGACTTAGAAGAAATGAAGACTTTTTTCTTTGCTTTTGATTTCCAGGGCTATTGAGAGATTGCTGAGGCTGCTAGTTAGCAGGGGCTTCTCTCCCTCATACAGTTTGTTCCCTTCTCTCAGGAAATAGGCCTCAGAACCTGGGTCCTCTCTTGTGCTCCTCCATAAGAGAAGTATTTAATGCAACCTTAGGCTGTGCAACAGAAAGGGCTGTTCCGATGTTCTGAATCAGCTTCACCCAAATCTAGCACTTTTGGGAAAAGTCCCTTGATGTTTACATAGCCCATTATATGTAGGCACTAGGCTATGGATAAAAATATGGAAAATGAGTCTCTACTCTCACAGGGACTTGACATTCTACTGGTCTGGGGTAAGAGTATGTTAAACGTATCTCCAGAAGGTTCATCTAAGAGCTCCAGTCATTTTGGGGTTTTGAGAAGGGAGAACTAGCATATAGAAGTAGGAGAAATTGGAAAAGGTGTTGGGAGGAAGTGGCCCTAACGCTCAGCTTTGAAGAAACCTAAGGAGGGCATTACAGACAAAGAGAGACCATCTGAGTATAGGCATGGGGATGGGAGATGGAACATCACTCACCCCCATGAACTGGGCAGTCTTGTCTAGTGGCTTTGATGAGTGACACTTCCAGGGTTAAGCCATCTGGCTTCCTGAGCCAGGTAATCAGGACAACTTCTAAGCTACTCTCAGATGATGAGGTAAGATTATTAGGAAGGAGATCCTAGAATATCTCTAGCCATGGATGTTGGGCTCTTTTTGGAACAGCTTGGTCAGGCTTACTTTGTTCTCTAAGTGAATAACCAAGAAGCCAAGCAGCTGGTGGATGAGAAGCCAACAGGTAGGAAGAAGACAGGGAAGAAGTAGGATGTGGGGATCTAAGGTCCCTTCTGGCTCTAAATGCTATGAGATCATAGAATCATAGGATCATAGATCTAGAGCTGGAAGGGACCTTGGAGACCACTTGGTCCACGAGAGTGTTCCGAACCACTGTGGTTCCGAACTGAGCTTTTGAGGGATAGCAGTAGACA